AGTCTAAGATCAAGGTGTGGCCATGGGTAGGTTTTTTCTGACCTCTTTGAGGGAGAATCCATTCCCTCCTACCTCTGGTAGCCTCCAGCATTCCTTGGTGTGTAGCTGGCTGTCTCCTCCCTGTGTCTTTTCACATTGCCTTTCCTCCGTGTGTCAGTCTCTGTGTCCAAATGTCTCCTTTTTATAAGGACACCCACCGTTTTGAATCAGGGTCCATCCTAATGACCTCATTTTGACTTGATTGCCTCTGTAAAGACCCTCTCACCAAATAGGATCATGGTTTGAGGATTCCAACTTATCTTTTGGGGAGGACACAATTCAACCCCTAACAGTGAGGCAGCCCCATAGAGTAGGTTCCTTCTCCTCGCTCCTGGCCCCAGATGGGTCTTTCCTTCCCTCCCATCCAGGGAGAACTACCGTGAATCAGCTGAAAACCAATGGCTACAAAAACTTGTTCGGCCTCCTCTCATCCAGTTTCCCTTCATCTCGTGCCAATGAGTGGCGTTTTGCCCAGGCAGTCACTATGCCCTGCGTGCACCAGGAAAAACAAAAACAGGTTGCCAGAGCCAGGAAAACCTGACATGTTTTAGCCCGAGGTCTCAGTGTGGTTTCTTTGGGGAACATCAAATGATTTCCCTTGTCTGAGTGCATGAGTGTGCAATGAGGTTAAGTTGCTGGTTATCTTAAGTTTTCCTACCACAGATCCCTTAAGAAAGCCTGTCTGGCCTTTTCATAGAAACATACCCTAACCACCCAAGGTGGGCAATGGAAGAGGAACCTCCACATGGGAGGGGTGGTTGGAGACTTACAACCCCAAGTCTTGTCCCAAATGTATCTTTCTCTTGTAAGTTGCACATGAGGGTCAGGGAAGGCTGTTTCTCTTCCAGCACTTCTTCCCAAACATGAAGAGAAACTCCCATTCATTCTCCACCAGTCCATCAGTCCCAGGATGCAGTGTTTGGTTCATTACCTGATTTCAGTGGCCTGTGGGTTGCCCAGTGCAGTTAGGCATCACTTCTGGCCTTGACCGTGGAACACAGAGGAAGGTAGTTTACACAGGAGACCTGTCCTTTGCCAGGGGTTACGTGGGTTTCCAAAGGCTTCAAATGCAAACTCACAAGCACCCATGGTCAAGAGCACAGTCTTGGAAGCCTGGCAGAAGTGGGTGGATAGCATCATTCTTCCACCTCCTACTTGAGTGACCTTCAGTAGATTACTTAAATTCTATGGAACTGGGTTTCATCATCTGTAAAACAAACAAAAATAGAACCTGTTTCATAGAGTTACTGTGATAATTAAAAGACATAGGATATGTATGTAAGGTATTGAGTTCTACCTCTGATACAGGGGTGGGGGGGGGGATTAAAATGGAGATAAAGGAAGGGCAGTGAGATGACCCAACCCATTCTAAGGGTCTGCTGCACCCCAGACCCTGTGTAATGGGCAGAGGGACGTGGAAGGAACATCAGAAGACTGCTGGTCAACCTCTCCTTAACTTTCTCAGCTCTAAAATGTGCCTTAAAAACATCCCAGCTTATCTATCCCATGGGCTTGTTACATGGACCCTGAGTAGCTCCCCAACCAAACTAGAGAGGTCTCCCAAAAATTACCTGTAGGTAGGGCTGAGGGCGGCTTTCCAGACTCTCTCTTATCCCCTCCACCTTGGACCCTCTTGAGAGCTCTGGCCTGGCACCCCTGCTTCCTTATCTGGATGGCAGCCCATCCGGACCGGAGCTAACTCTAGATTTCTCTGTCTTCCTGGGCTCTGCCTCTGATGCCAGCAGGGGCTCCACACCCTGGGACCTGCCTGGCCTCACCACCCAGCAGGTCTGAACCCTAGGCCAGACCCAGGTATCACAGTTCCCACCGGATCTGTAGGGGAAACCATGACATTTTCACCAAATGAATCCCAGAAATTGTTATTCCAGAAATTGATTGCTGTTGTTCCTTTAGCCCTGGGGAAGAGGGATCTTTTCCATTTCCAGGCCTCTTTGCCCCCCCTTCCCCCATCTCCCACCTCTGCCCCTCGCCATTTTAGATGTTCAAAAACTGTGTTTTAAAGAAAACGAAGTTCCATTTCCTAGACTGCTCAGGTCAGCAAACAGTGTTTGGTGGAAAACTGGACAGGAAGAGGCTGAGATCACATCGGATAGGCACGGGGAAGCTGAGACAGGAAATCCATCAGTTCTGGGGACAGATGTGGAAGCCCGAGTCCCCCACAGGTAGTAGCCAGAGGTTTACACGCAGGAACCTCTTGGCAGAAACCCCTCCATGTCTGCAGAACTCTGTGAGCACCAGGGCTGACCCCACAGCTGGGGGAGGAGAGGGAAGGCGAGTTGGTGGCATCAGCCCAATGGGATAGCCCCTGGTGTGTCAGCAGATAGAGATCATCTGTGACAACAGCCGCCCACGCCCAGGCCCACCCCAGGCCCAGGGGGCTAGCAGCAGGTGGCTTTAGCTGACTTGTTTGGCTTTCTGCCCTGTGGCCAGTAGAACCTGACAGGTCAGTTTCCAGATCTGGGCTGATTTTTTTCCACTTCCTGGTTCTCACACCTTCAACTTGAGAAGCTGTGGTTCCCTTCCCCCTCACTCTGCAAGAGGATGTGTTTGGTCTACAATGCCCAGAGAAAGGTCTGGTCTCTTAATCAGCCATTCTGAACCCTAGGAAGTTATTTAAGGGATCAAAACAGCTGAAGTTAGACCCCTGAAGATTAAAATCAGTGACTGGCCTCTATCTGAGGACGGTTCTTCCCATGTGGGAGAGACCTGAGCACAGAGACCCGCCAGCGCGCCCCTCGCCCCACCAGCCAGGTCTCCGCAGGAAGGAGCAGCTTTGCCTCCTAAGTCTGTTTTTTTAAATTGATCTTTAGAAAGAGAGGAAGGGGGAGAGAGAAAGAGAGAGAGAGAGAGAGAGAGAGAGAGAGAGAGAGAGAGAGAGAGAGAGAAAAGGAAACATCAATGAGAGAGAAATATCATCAATCTGCTGCCTCTTGCATGCCCTACTGGGGATTGAACCTGGGCATGTGCTCTGACCAGGAATCAAACCATGACCTCCTGAGTCACAGGTCAATTCTCAACTGCTGAGCCATGCTGGCCAGGCTCCTAAGTTTGTTTTTATTTGCTTTGGAGAAGGTACCTTTTTTTTTTTTTTTTTTTTTGCAATCCCTTTAACACTTCTTTACTGAATATTTGAGTGATCGAATGGAGATGGAGGTAGCTCAGCAGGGCTGGGATTATGGCAAGGCCAGTGAGGCTACTAGGGAACCAAATTGCAAGAGGCACTCGCTCTCGGGTTCATACAAGTTCTCACCCTGGTCGGACCCTGATTGCTGGTGAGGGGAAGCTTCAGGGGGAGATGGTTTACTCAGAAATGGCTGACTGTGGAATAGTGAGGGGCCCCACCACAGGCACCTGCCAGCCTTGCTTCCTCTAGCCTGGGACGTCCAGGCCTCTCATGTCCACAGGTGTGCCCTGTATGGGGCTGGGCACTCCCTATCAGAAGGCCCCTGCTCCTGGGAACTGCAGAGAGAAACATGTATGAAAGAGAACTTGAATCAAGTCAGAGGTAGTTGTCCCTGCAGGGGTGCAGGGCTGAAAAACATTATAATAATATTAAATACCGCTTTGGGTACTTACCATGTACCACGCCCTGTGTTAAATACATGATGGCCATTATTTTATATAATCCTCTCAACTCAATAAAGAACTCGGGCTCTAGAGCCAGACAGCATGAATTTAAAGCTCAGCCTTGCCTCTTTCATGATGTGTGACCGTGGGAAATTACTTAACCTCTCTGGGCTTCAGCTTTCTCATCTGAAAAATGGGAATAATAATAGAACTGACATCATGGTATTCCAAGGATCATATCCGGTAATACAAGGAAAGCAATGAGACAAGCATCTGGCACAAGATAAGCACTGGACAAGTATTAGCCATGGTTAGTATTGTGATTGCCTCTTGTAGCTTATTCCTGGGGTTGCCTCAACAAAAGTCTCACAGACTGGTGACTTAAACAATAGAAACGTATTGTCTCACAGTTCCAGAAGCTAGAAGTCCAAGATTAAGGTGTTGGTAGGGCTGGTTCCTTCCATGAGCTGTGAGGGAGAACCTGTTCCCTGCGTCTCTCCTCAATTCTGGGGTTTGCTGGTTTATAGATGATCATCTTCTCCAATGTCTCTTCACTCCGTCTTTTCTCTGTGTGTCTATCTCAGTGTCCAAACTTCCCCTTTGTTTGAGTCTGTTTGGGCTGCTATAACAAAAATACCATGGATTGGGTGGCTCAAACAACAACCCCTATCTCTCAAGTTCTGGAGGCTGAGAAGTCCAAGATCAAGGCACTGGCAGATTCGGTGTCTGGTGAGGACCTGCTTCCTGGATCTTAGCTGACTGTTTTCTCACTGTGTCCTCACAAGGCAGAAGGGGTGGAGGAGCTCCCTGGGGTCGCTTTTATAAGAGTACTAATCCCAATCATGAAAACCCTGTCCTCATGACGTAGTCTCCTTCCAGAGGTCCCTCCAAATTGGGAATTAGTTTTCAACATATGGATTAGGGGAGGGAGGGTGGAGAAACACACACATTCAACCTATAGCACCCTTTTTATAAGGACATCAGTAATAGTGGCTTGGAACCCACTCTAATGACCTTTTTTAACTTGATTACTTTGGTGAAGACCCTATTTCCAAATTAGGTCACATTCTGAGATACTGGGGATTCACAATCCAACACATCTTTTGTAGGGATGGGGTCGGGGAGGGGGAGAGACACAATTCAACCTATGGTACAAGGCTAAGGAACTAGCTCAATGTCACACATCTCATTGGTGATGAAACTGGGTCCTAGGACCCCAGGATTATTTGATGACACATTTCATGGCATGAACCCCATGTAAAGCCCCAACATTCTTAAACCTTCTCTGGATGGGGAGAAAGAACCAAAGAGAGACATTCAGAGCCTACTGCTACTGTGTTGATGGCATTTCCCCTTCTTTCTCTCTTCTCCAGCCTGCCTGCTCCAGGCTGAGCTGGTAAACTATGAACGAGTCAAGGAGTATTGCCTCAAAGTCTTGAAGAAGGAAGGGGAGAACTTCAAGGCTCTTTACCGGTCTGGTGTGGCCTTCTACCACCTTGGGGACTATGACAAAGCACTCTACTACCTGAAAGAAGCAAGGACCCGACAGCCAACAGGTAAGGCAGAAATTGATGTTTTCTCATCGTCAGCCACCTCTGGCAGCTCCTGGGGCCCTCTCATTGGGATGGGCAGCTCTCATGATGTAGGCCCAGGCAGGTGCAGAAATGGCAAATTAGGGGTCAGGTGGCCGCTAGAACCTGGAATGAGGAGAACATACAGTCCATGCATTTGCCTGGGGTCTGAGTCCCAGGGAACTTCAAATTGAATATGGAATTCTTTGTCTTTTCTAATCCAGAATCCAGCTTTCTTCACTTATTCAATATATACATATTGAATTCTTATGATGTGCCAAGATTTCTGCTGGGCACCAGGGATGTGGATGAGAAAAGGTGGCTCATATATTTGAGGAGCTCACACTCTGGTTGGCAAGACAGAACACAAAGGACTGATTTGGGTGCTGAGCCCAGTATCTTCCAGGAAGCGTGCTCTGCCTTCTCCAGTCAGATCCCATTCCTGAGAGGATGCGTTATCTGTACCATCCTTGCAAATTCACATCCACAAGCTCAGCCATTTGTTCATTCCACAGATACTGATTAAGCAGTTCCAATGGCCCAGGAACTGTTCTAGGTGCTGAGTAGATGTCAGGGAACGAAAGAAAGCTGTTACATTCAGGGAGTTTATGATATAATGGAGGGAGATGGACAGTAAGCACATGGACAGATAGATGCAATATTTAGTAGTATTAAGGGCTATGAAGAAAATAAAGCAGAAAAAAAGGATCAAGAGTAAATGGGGTGCTATTGTAGACCTGGTGGCGAGAAAGAACCTCTCTGAAGAGATAACATTTCAATAATGACTTTGACTTGATGTTGCCATTGTTCACGGGGCTGACTTTTTTAAATGCATTTCTCTTTCCAAGAAGTCTTTAAGAACTTTAGGATCAATTTGCAAATCTCCAAATGTATACATTTTTCTTTATTTTTGTAAGAGCACCAATATCTTTATGTTTTGATTAGTTTTCTGAAATCAGTCATGTTCCCCCAACTGTACTGTAACCCACTTGAGGACAAAGAACTGGACTCAATCAACAGAATTTTCTTGAACACCTACTGTATGCCAGCACTGTTCTGGCTGCCATGTGTGCCATGTGTGGCATATTTTAGAATGCTACAGCGTTCGTTTCTACTTCTGGAAGCGAACATCTCAAGCAGCCCTGTAACTCTTATATGCTGGTATGTGCAGAGCTAAACAGCTGTTCCGCATCATACCCCACTCACCAATTTAAAAGCTGGGATTGGGGGATAATTTCCCAGTTTGAGGTGCGGTGGCCTGACTCTACTTATAAGGACAAAAATAAGACAATGAAGCAAAGTCATTTTAAACTCTTCAATTTAAAAAATTACATTCAAGTAATATTTCTTTGTCATTAGATTAGCACTGTTAGGCTAACCTATTTTGGCCCTCATAGAAATGTCATGAGGAAGGTATGACCCCCAGGAGAGGCAGGCTTTGGAGTCAGATGCACCACATACTGTTTGTCTCCTTGGGCATCACACTTAACCTCTCTCGGGCCCAGTTTTCCCTTTTGTCACAGGGAGGGTGATGCTGCATACCTTGCAGGGTTTCAAGGAGGGTTAAATGAGATAACATGGCACAAAGTAGGCATTCATAAACGGAAGTTGTTTCTTGCAGACAAGACAGGAGGCTCCGAGAAGTTGGTAACGTGCCTGGACTTAAACTCTAAACAGAGCCTCCGCTCACTGTGCTGACTCAGGAGCACGGGGATATGCTGTTTCATAGAAATAAAGGGGGACATCCCTCCTCCTCTCCTCTCCTTCCTGGGTCAGGGTGACCTGTCCACATTTGCTAGGGGGAGGCCATGGAGGAGAATGCCAATGTCCTGGCTGCCCTCTCAGGACCTTGATGACAGCTGACATCATGGACCTTGGTTGACTGAGGATGGCCTGTCCAGGATCTATAGCTGTAGGCCCAATACTTCCCCTCACCATGTGTCCTCTAAGGTGTGTTTCTCTCCTCACAGACACCAACGTGATTCGGTATATCCAGCTGACGGAGATGAAGCTCAGCAGATGCTCCCAGAGAGAGAAGGAAGCCATTTAACTACAACACCTCTCTAGACTTGCACTTGCGCCCGACCCTGGACTTGTAGGCATCCCCTGGCAGAGAGCCCCTCCCTGGGTTCTGGTCCTTTCTCCCAACTCCTTCCACCAGCCCCCCTTCCCCCTCCCCCCCACCCTTCCATCTCTTCTTCCTGTTGCCCCTCAACTATTGTCTACTCCCAGTGTGAAAAGAAGGAGATGAAAATTTGGAATCTGGTGGGTTGCCCTGACAATGGAGATATCTTCTTCTCTAGCGGGTCAGCCACTGAGAGGGACCTGAGCTCTGTGGGGACAGCCGGGGAGGACTCTCACAGACCAGGAATGCCTGGGTTGCTGACAGAGGCAGATCCTGACGGTTTACCATCCCAAAGGCAGTACGCATGGAACCCATGGCTGGACCCTGCACACCTTTCTGACAGACCAGAGCATCTCAAGGCAATTGTGACAGATCCAGGATTGAGACAAACACCAGGAGCTCTGGTTAAGGCAGGAGAGAGACCGTGAACTTGTACACTGGATTTCCCCACCTCTACCCCCAGTAGCCTCCGCCCCTGCCTCTCTTCCTTGTCTTGGCTTGTGCTTTCTTCTCTTGCCCTTGGGGATCTGAGACTGTGCCAGGATTCACATGCCATTGACACCCACTCTCAGTGCCCTCTGGTGACCACACATACCATCCTCCCATCCCCCCAGCAGGCAGCTGTGACAGCAGAAGGGCAGGGTCAAGTGGGCCAAGGGTTGACCACTAAGGGGATGTGGGGAGGGAGAGGTGACGTCCAGGGGAGAGAGCATTGTATAGACTGGGCTACTCATTAAGTGTAAATAAAAATAAATTAACAGGCAGAAACTCCTGTCATTTCTGTTGGAAGCAGCCCACTCCCCCACTGTTACTCCCTCCCCCAGCGAACTCACTCAGAGCTACTTCCAGCCAGGCAGGATGGGGCTTCCCCAAAGGCCATTTGTTCCCTGGTCTACAGCATTGGCTGCCTCCTCTGTGTGTTAGAGTAGGCTGGGTTGGGGATTCTGCCCAGGGAGTTGGCTTTGTGGGACTTTGTGGGACTTGTACAGCCTCTTTGATGACATTAGCTGGACTCAATATCTAGCACAGAGAATGTGTTCAACAAATATTTGTTGAATGAATAAATTATGACTGCAGACTGGCTCTCCTGCCTTAAACTAATTTTATCCCAGCCTAGTCTCCTGATATCTATGCTCTTCATGCCATGTTGCTTCAGTCAAATAAGAAACATTTCCTGAGGGCTTCTTGTTTGCCTACCATTGTGCAATATGCTGTGGGACATAGGACGTGGTCCTATGGAAGAGTTCAGAAATACTCGTGTGAGATTATTACCAATGACACCTTTCATTTATATGATGCTTTAAATTTTTCAAAGCACTTTCATGTATCTTCCGTGTGATTAGTGAAAGAAACAGTATTGTACAAATTAAAATATATACAGATGCAATAATGTTCATAGTTAGCATTTATTAAATGCACTATCCTCAGCTCTTTACATGTATAAGCTCATTTCTTTCATGCAATTACCCTATGAGATGGCATTTCTATTTGAAGAATAAGAAAACTGAAAACCAGAAAAACTAACTATCCCAGCCCAGCAAGTGGTTGAGCATCAGCCTATGAACCAAGAGGTTACGGTTCGATTCCTAGTTAGGGCACATGCCTGGGTTGCGGGCTCGATCCCCAGTGTGGGGCATTCAGGAGGGCAGCCAATCAATTATTCTCTCTCATTGATGTTTCTATCTCTCTCTCTCCTTCTCCCTTCCTGTCTGAAATCAATGGGGAAAAAAAAACTTATCAAAGAAAAATGTACTGTTGCAAGGTGGCATGGCCTTAAGTGGAATAGCTAGGATTTGAGCCAGGTGTGTCTGACCCCAGAGCTCTAGCTAAAACTACTCTATAATTAGTTTCTGCTCTACAAAGTATATTGAGCAGTTACAACCCCTCAAGAGCAGGACCGTGTGCGTTACATGAAAAAGTTTTGACTATAGTACCTGAGCTGCCTCTTGTGTTTAAAATGCCCAAAGGAAAAAAAAAAAGGTCCCTAACACTAGACTCGCTAGTAGCCAGGGTGGTAACAGGCCAGGAAAAGAGAGCTGAGCCCCACAGTTATTTCTGCGTATTGTTCATCCTACTTGCTGATGGCCAGCATGTGTCCAGACAACCCACCTAGCTTTCCTCACCTCATCCCAGCTTTGGGGAAGAGTCACAATTACAGGCAGAGGATGAAAGGGAATACCAAGTTGATGATGGGTTATTTGTTTAATCTGGGGCTCCACCACTGCAGGATCTCGTTGCTGCTGAGGGGCCCAGGAGCCAGCAGCCCAGGGGATACTCACGTGGCTTCTCAAAGGCTTCTAACTGGGACCAGAAGAAAGTTCCGGGAATATCCAAGGGCCCACAGTTGCTTGCCTGTAGCTCAGCCTCTGGAGAAGGGGAAAAGGAAAAGGCTGTTACAGCTGCCCCATTCTACCCAACCCCTAACCACAGCCTGCTCTCTGCCCTCTTCCTCCAAAATGGTTTCACATGACCCCAATTCAAAACCACCCTGCAGTGTACGTAGCACAGGCAACCGTGCAAAACCCCCTGCCCCCAAGCCTCCAGTCCAGAAAATCTTGTGAGTTGGCGAACTGCTTGTTAGAATCCGAAGGATAAGATGAGGTCAGAGGTGGCCTGTAGAACCAGTTCAAACTGGCAGGGTCTTCCTTTGGTCTTGCATTCAGGAAGGACTCAGAGTAACTATTCCCAACATGGGTCACAAGAGAGATCAAAAAGTGAGTTGCGGCGAGACTGGACAGATGGGGCTAAGGTTGTTATCATCCTTACAAAGAAAAAGGTTGGAAACCTGAACTAAATGAGCACAACCTCATGGGACAACCTAGTACAAGTGTACAGGCTGTCTGCTTGTCTGGTGACTTAGATACACATGCTTATTGGAACTGCATTCACTGTGACCCAACGTTAAATGATCCCAAAAGAGAAAGCTGCCTGGGGTATTAGCTGATGTCCGGGCTGAGTGGTGAATCTTCTGTTCACTTGTCCAACAGAGATGTCAGGGAGCTGCTAAGCAAAATCAGGGGTGTTCACCTTCCCACCCGCTTCCTTCTCCCCGCCCCTCGCACACACAGGGCTTGCCATGTAACTGCACGCTGTGTTTGCAGATGTCACTGCTGAACTCTACCTGGAGCACAAAACCTGGATCTGACCTGCTTTGTCATCTCCTGCTTGGACTTTTGGGATAGACTCTTTGGGAAGAAAAATTATACCTTTCTTGTAATGATTATAAACGCCTCACATGTGTATTGTGAATTTTAGGGGAGGGGGGAGACAAACTCCAACCCACAATCCTAGTACCCAAGACAAGCATTATCATCCTTTGGGATATATATTTTGGTTCTCTTTGAGATAAATGCACACATGCACATACACAGTTTGTTGTGGGGTGTTTTTTTTTAACAAAAACTAGAGCACATTGTATATATATATATTTACTCTTTAATAACTTACTTTTCAAAATGTGCATATTTTAGAATATGAAATACCTACACAGACACAAAATTCAAAAATTACAAAAATCTCTATAGTAAGAAGTAAATCTCCTTCCCACCTCTCTGCCAGCATCTAATCTCGCTCGTATATCCTGTATATCCTTCCGGAGACATTTAAGCATTTTCAAACATATGTCCATGGTGGCATATGGACGCACGTTTTTGCACCGTGTGCTACTTCACTTATTATGTCAGGAGCATAACATCTTTACATCATTTTGCGTGTCTCTCGAACTTTTCAACATCATCCCCATCCTACAGGCGGGCCCTTATTTGATAACCAATCTCCTAATAGTGGTTATTTCATTTGTTCCCGGTCTTCGTTGTAAATAAGGTTGCAACAGACATTCTTGTAGCTAAACTGCGCACAAGGAAAAAATTGCTTGGCTATCTTTAAGAATTTTGATAGAAGTTGCCAGCTGTCCTCCAGAGTTTGTACCAAAGTGGTCTCTTATCTGCTGCTTGAGAATGCCCTGTTCCCTGCACCCTCACTCGTGGTGGGTATTAACCCTTATAAAATCTTCACCAATTTGATAGAAAAATAATAGGATGTCAATATTGTTTAAACTTGCATTTCTTCGGTTATTATTGATGAACATCTTCATATGCTTATTGATCATTTGTACTTCTTTGTGAAATTTCTATTCATTTGATATTGGTATGTTTACCTTTATTATCAACATGTAATTTTATTACGAATATTATTTTTGTCAAGAAACACTGCAAATGGGCTTTCCAAGTGCTTTGCTTTCTAATTTTGCTTATGGTGCTTTTTGACATACATAAATTCTTAATTCTGCAATCAATTTGTTCCTCTGTTGCCAGCTTCTTCTGCCAGTGGCCCCTCTCCCATTTCTGCCAGGTGGCCCTTCTAAAGCACACGGATGGTGTCGCTCCGTAGCTTGAACATCTGTAGTGGCTCCTCATTCACTTTAAAAGCCAAACTCCTTAGCATAACACACAAGGGCTGTCATGTGATTTCCCCCACTGGCTCTTCTGGGCTCACCTGCTGGTCTTCTTCTCAGGTGCCCTACATTCCATCGCCACACAGCTGCTTGGCATTCCCTGAACCCATGTTCGGGGTCTCTGGGCCTCTCCATGCTGTTCCCTCTGCCTAGCTGCCCATGCCTTACCCCTCCACCTCCCTCTTTGCCTTGCTAACTCCGTTCAGACCCTAAGCATCACTACTTGAAAGCAGTCCCTGACCCCTTAGTCTGCGCTCCTAAAGCAACGTGAGCCTACCTCTGGCCAGCATTTGCTACAGCGAATTGGAATTTCCTGTTTATGTGTGTCTCCCCCGCTACCTGGATATTCAAGGCAGGCGCTGTGGTTTGTTCATTTTTGCAGCCAGAACGTCTAGCACGACGCCTTCACATAGCAAGTGCTCACTAAATGTTGAGCATTGAGCTTGGCACGGATGAATAATGGATTCAGTGGCAGATGTTACTTGAGGTAAATGCAGGGCCGGGCTGGATCTGTGCTTCTGAGAAGTGAAGAAATCCTAGGAGACTTGGGTTATAAGAGAAGCCAGGTGCTCCACTGCTGTGCTTTCCAAAACATCAGAATCACTTGAAGTAGCTTTTAAAAAATGCATCATCTCAGGCTCTGCCTTAGATCCATTGAATCAGACTCATGGGGATGATGCTCCACATAAGATAGTGTGTGTGTGTGTGAGTGTGTGTGTGTGTGTGTGTGAGTCCTAAAGTGTTTCTGATGACCAGCCAGGTTAAAAAGCTGCTGCTGAAGTAGTCCAGCAGATAAATCAAAGCCCCTGGCTCCACTATTTCAAATCATGTGACCTTTGCAGTGGATAGATGGAGCTTTATTCGAACACCAGCTTTGACATCTACTGGCCGTGTGACCTCAGGGCAGTTGCATGACTTTTCAGGCCCTCATTAGCCTCACTTAAACATGAGGACAATATTATACGCCCCTTACAAGGGTGTTGGGAGGATTAAGAACTACCTGTCTCCTAGCTCCGTGCCTAGCACAGAGTAAGCATGAAATAGAACACTCATTTCCTTCCCCCCACCCTCAGCCTCAGTTTCTTCATCTATAGTTTGGCTGCTAATACCTGTATGTTTGCCTTCCACATTCCCGCACCGAACTCCAGCAGGTACAGGACCAGTACTTGGGCGATGCAGGGGGCAGAGGAAGCCCCTTCTCCCACCGCATGCTCTCTCCCAGCATAGCAGAGAATGTAAAGCAACTAATTGGAATAATTCTGATGCTTTTCAGACCCAGTTGTCTTTTAGTCGCATCCAAAGATCGACACAGTTTTCTTCCTGTGGTTCCACCCAAAGGCCAGTGGCTTTTCACCTCCAAGGTGAAGGCGATTGTCAGAAAAGAGAGTAGTCATTGCCTGCTCCCCTTCCCGCACCCTGGGATCCTCATCCCATGCCTCAGGGTTGGAAAGACAAGACTGAATGTGAGGTCAAAATAGCTCATCTACAGCCACCTCGATTAAGATGCCCCTGGTTCCCACTCCCAATGCCTACACACTCTCTCCTCGCCAGCCCGGGGCCGGCAGCCGAGGCAGGGAAAATGCCTTCAGTCCCTCAGGCCTGACAGAGTTCAAATTACCGAGTCAGCATGAAAAGTCCCACTCTAAATGGACTGAAATTGGATTCTATTAAAAACCGCACTCACTGAGGCCCTTGGCTATTAATATTTGCTCCAACATGGAGGAGCGGGAGGAGGCAGAGGCTCCTGCAAAAGGTTGGAGATTGCAGCTGTTCCGTGGAATTGCTTTTCTGGAAGCGAGCCTACATTTGAAAGCTAGATGTGCCCTGTTTTTAACAGTTCACAGAATATTAGCGCTGGAAGGAGTCCTGAAGCTCTCTCGTCTTATAGATGAGAGATCAAGTCCAGAGAAGGCAAGTGACTGATTCAAGGTCACACGGCTAGTCAGTAACAAAACCAGAACTGGAACGCATCTC